GAGAGTAGACTCTCCCCACTCTTGGGCGTACCAGGGCATTTGGGGGCCGTTGGATACCGGCTTAGTGGTTTGTCAGTCAAGTGCTCTGGCGCAGGACTGGTAGGTCCTGTGTTTGAATCTCGCTCGCAAGGCGGGATCGTGGAAGCGCACTGACACTGAGGAGTCCCACAATAGGACAAAACGGCCATTTAGTGCTTCCATGTTCTCCATGGTGGTCCAGCTTCAATTGACTCATGATTTCAAGTATATATATATAAACTATATCATTTCATTACTTTCTTTCTTTCTTATTCAGATATTATTGAATATGAAACGTGCTGTTTATCAAGCAAAATTTGGTGAAGATATGCCAGGTTCTTCATGAACATCATCATCATCATCAGTACATTACTAGAATAATACATGTTTATCTTATAAACCTATCTATGTATATTGTATATTGATTGTATAACAGAAAATTTCAGATTCCCTTTATTATCTTCTTTTTTTTTAACTGTTCACAATTGAGACTTTCTTTTTTTTGTTCTTATAAAATTGAATTATCACTAACTGATGTATAGATCTCTATTCTTATGAATGTTCAATTGAATATGGAAATTTTTATTTTTATTCACAATACTACTACTACTACTACTATTAGTAGTAGTATCATAACTATCTGTTTTTAAAATGAAACGAATACATTTTATGATATAAATATAATTCAATGATATGAATCGATCATTTTATTGTGTGTTTTTCGTTTGTTTCGTTGGTTTTTTCAATGTTGGTTTCAGTAGATAAAACTATACTGTACTGATTAATTAGTTAATGTGATTGAAAATTTTAAAACTTAATGACAGATAGTAAACAAAGATGGATAGTAACTAGTAATGGAATCCAGTTTGATACACGTTTCGTCCTATTTGGGACTCGTCAACTGGATGTACCTACATCTCAAAGTTGAAGTTCACTTGGGTACTCGAATCTAGTGGCTTTCGCTTGAAACTGCATCGCGTTATCCACTCAGCTAATAAGTCTTGATAGCCAATTGTTTGTGCAATGGGGTGAAGTTTGAATTCACTTAGTATTGTTTGTTTGAATCTCTCCATTGATGCTTAGAACTGCAACTGGTCAGTCTCTAATTGGCATATATGCATCAATGGGAAGATTCAAACAAGTAATACTAAGTGAATTCAGTGACGGATACTTACTTGTTTACATCTATTATCCTTCATGAAGGAACATAGATTACCTACAAGCATTCTCTATACAACTCTGTCCTAGGAAATCTTTCCTAGTGTGTTCTTTGGTTTTCCTCTTTTACGTTTACCTTTAGGATTCTAAGTTATCGCTTGCTTCGTGATACAGTCTGATGATTCCCTTAATATTATGTCCTATCCATTTCAAGCGTCTCTTCCTAATTTCCTGTTTCGTTCAAAGCTGGTTTGTCCTCTCCTATGAAAGACTGTTGCTGATGGTATCTGGTCAACGGACATTGAGTATCTTGAGTAGACAATTGTTGATAAATACTTGTACCTTTTTGATGATGGTTATGGTAGTTCTCGATGTTTCAACTTCCTACAGTAGAACTAACAATCTTGATGTTCGTATTGAAGATTGTAACTTTGATATTGGTTAAGAGTTTTTATGAGTTCTATATGTTCATTTGTAGGACTCTCATCCTGTAGAAAACAACCTTGCTAAAAAAAGAATGCAATAGCTGTTAGTTTGTACTTTACTGAAGAGTTAAATATAAATTGCTTATATTTCTAATACTTATTGAATGTAAATATTGTACTGAATAAATACCTTAAAGGAAACACTTACCTAATGCATTGTTCTTCTTCGTTCTTACGCCTGTTACTCCCGATGGAACATAGGCCACACCTAATGCAGCATTAACCTAAGTTTAATTATTTAATGGTTGTGATGATGATCATGATATAGTGGTTTAATTTTCAAACTCCGTCCCATTTAAATGAGTTTATCATTTAAATACTAGTTAAATGGTCCTGTAACTCCAATTAGTTCGTATGATGATTGATGTCGAAATATACATACAATCAACCTTTGTTTATTTTTATCGACTTCATTTCCATTAGAAAATAATGGAATAAAATAAGTCAAATATGAAAATGAACATCGAATACGTATATCTCATACATTCATTGATCGAAACAGAGTTAGTGAACTAACTCCATTTGATCAAGATTAACTCAATATTTATAGTCAGATCAAAAATAAATTACAAACACTAAATCATACAAAAATAGTTAAAGTGAATAAACGAATAATTGACAAAGTCGAATATGGCTTGAAAAGAATCAATGTACTGGTCTGTCTATAAGCTAGAATAATCTGTATGGGTTTGTCATTAAACTACCAGTAATTTTTTTCAAAAATGTGTAAATTAACGTTGAGTATACAAGTTTGTACCTAATTTCTGAATATTTGTTATATAGTATAGTTTAGTTCTAATGGCTTTAAGAAAAGATATTGAACTGTTACAACAAATTCTCCAACTAACATTAACATGTAGTCTCCTTTCGAGTTATTGCCAAGTGTTATTCTCATTGTTTCGATGTCTGCCTCCAATTCCTGGCACAATGTATTCGCATTTTCTCCCTAAGGATTGCATGTTTAGGCTTGCCTTGTGATTCGGTTTGGCGATTTACGTAAAGGTTGACCTATATTTTTTTCTTAATTTCCTTTCTAGATGGACGCTGATTTTCTCTCTTCTTTAACCCACTCTGTCCTGGGCTTTCCTTTCTAGTTCTGTCCAATTGTTGTTCTTTCTTCTCATATCTGTCTCCATTTCTCGGAGTAATGTGTTCTTTGGTCTTCCTCTTCTCCTTTGGCTTTCAGGATTCCATATGAAGGCTTGCCTTGTGGCGCAGTTAGGTGCTTTCCTCAATGTGTGTCCTATCCACTTCCTCCACTGGAATTTGGTTTTGTTCTCTCCCATAGTAGGTTGTTGTTGATAATATCTGGCTAACAGATCCGAAGTATTTTGCTTAGACAACTGTTAATAATCAATTGTATCTTCTGGATGATGGCTTTCATAGTTCTTCAAGATTCCGCCTCATACGGTGGAACTGTCTTGACATTTGTATTGAAAATTCTGATCTTGGTGTTGGTTGACAATTGTTTCGAGTTCCAGATGTCCTTCAATTGATGATATGCTGCTCTTGCTTTGCCGATCCGCGTCTTCACATCTGCAACAGATTGTGCTCACATAAAAACCTGAAATAGTCATAGATACTTTGTATGCAGAAGTCTCAAATAAAAAATGAAATGCCCGTTCAGTACTTTATGACTTTTAATCGCTTTCCAATAGACTTCAATCCATAGTGAAATAAAACACGGTTTTGGCAGTTAATTTGATTCAAAATTGAGAATCAGTACGATTCACATTTTGAAGCTCAGGTTGCTTAAGGATTTCTTTTAATTCCAACTCATCATTTATACTTTTAGAATAGTTGATGTTCTAACAAATTGTATTTATCTATATCTATGCATACATACGAATAGTGAGTGTCTAGCAATTTAACCGGGTTGGTGGATATGGAGATTCCACTTATGAGATTGATAAACCCCGATTTCAAACTAATGGTGTACATGGGATCCATGATCCTGAGGAAACAAATTGCGTATGAGCTTATTGGTGGTTACTGTATTCCATGGGACTGCATTTTCTACTTTGCTAACCTCGAATGTTGTTGGAGGTATTAAGATGGTTGTTCCTTCACAGAAGTTGATATCTTAAAAGGATATTTCTATTTGAGGTACCTGAGAAGAAAAGAATGTCGGGTGTGGTCATGACGATTTAGGAGCATGACCGCATAACTTGAGAAATAACCGCATTTTCGCGAGTAATTCTTCATGTGTGCCTCATTATGGTCGAGTCTCTACTGCATATAAAGTAAATCTGTAGAAAGAGTGAGGTGTGCTGTTTTTAGTGTCGGAATCCTCTAACCCCTTCACTGATCGTGGAAAGACAACACTCTCCAGATGCTAGTCGTCTGTGAGAGATGCCTTACACTCGTCACACGCCTATACAGTCTGCAGTACGATTTCTCCCTCAAACTTGGAGTTTATTGTATTTATTTTAAATGTTTTCTTTACCAATCTGCATAGTACGGTACCTGTAGATTGATCACTATTTAATGATTAATCAATGGTAATATCTTCGTCTTATACGAGGTCAGTTACAATTTAAATGATCGAATGATAATGTCTCTGACAGTAACATTAGCTTGAATCCTACCAAAATTATTAGTTCCTTGAAGACTTCAATTACGTCTTATGGATAAACGCCCACCAGTACGAAACTCAAGCATAACCTATATCCATTACTTACTTACTTTACTTACGCCTGTTACTCCCAATGGAACATAGGCCGCCGATCAGCTTTCTCCAACCCACTCTGTCCTGTAGCTCCTCCGAGGGCTACTGCCGGTCCCAAGCCCGGGTAAAGGAGAAGGGTTGGGCATTAGGTTAGCGACCCTATCCCGTAGAAAGCTAACTCGCTAAGAAAACGCTAACCAGAAAAAAATTATTCAAACCTATATCCATAACTTTGTTTAAACTATTATTTACTGGTATTAGCATGTCTTACTGATGCCTTATCATCTAGATATGTATACAACACAATTGTATTGTTTGATCTCACTTTATTCAAACCATAAATGACAAACTATTGACATAATCTATTCATGTTCTCTACTATAAGCTAACTATAAACTTAACCATTTATACTCTTTTGTAATATGATGGAAGATGATAATTAATGAATTGATTGGAACAACATAGAAATATTGTAACATAAACACAATTAATAAAGAACACATTAAACCAATCAAGAATTAGGGCGTTGATTCAAATACCAATTATGATTAATGTAACATAAATTATCATGATTTATTAATTTATTATAAACACAATCATATGATTTATAGTACTGATTGTGGTTCTTATCAGTAGTAGTATCTATACTACATTCAATTACATTATATACAATGAGAAATGTAAGCTAATTGTAATATGTACTCACGTAATAAACTTTTTTCTATAATAAGAAAAATTTCTAGTTTCAATTCACTATATTGCACATTTATTTATTTAATCACATACATATTGGCACAAAGGGCACCGGATACATATGCGCTACACATTGTGTGTGGGCTGTGATACTGCCCAGGCACCCAAACCAAAGCAGGTGGTTTTCTTAGGGGGCCACACCCTGAACCTTTGACCTAAAGGCCTGATCCACATGGTAGTGGAGCATCGTAATGAGATGCAGTCCCATGATAGCCGGTGACCAACAATTGGTTCATATGCCATGTGTTCCCTCAGGATACTGGAGTCCATGTGCACCATTGGTTCGGAATCAGGATTTTCCAACTCCCCTAGATGGACTTTCTGTGTCCACCAATCTAGTTAAAGCGCCGGACATTCGCTTTTCATCCTCTCACTTTCGTAAACAGCAGTAGTGCCACGAGAAATTAGTGAGTAGGACCTCCCTGACAGTGGTTGTGTGCACATGATTATGTGAGAGCATTTGAAAAGGGAGAGCTGAGTCTTTCCACCCTTGGTCGTACCAGGGCATTTGAGTATCATGGATACAATGAACGGGGAATTCGAACAGAAAAAAAAACCTATTTCGTATTTTTCTAGAATAAAGTTTCATGCTGATTTCATAATTCACTTGGTATTGTATATTTCAGTCCTTAGAATGAACTTTACAAGAATCTTGTTTTCTTGTAATTCAATTATATAAAGCGAAAATTCTCGTAGGAACCTCAAGTGAGCGTACAACTTTCTTACAAGATTACTGTAATCATATGGTGATTAAAATTTATAGAATCAATCTTTAGTGAAAAGCATGCCTGATGGGATGTAGATAGATGATGAATTAGAAAATAGGATGAATATCTTCTGGTTTTTAATATTTCTCTTGCTTATATTATTCTATGACTTATTCCATCTTGAAATAAAACTGATCATAAATCAACCTAGTGATCAATATGTGCTTGTTATACTACAAATGACCTTGTAATCACCATAGATGGAGGAGAGTAGTATTTCCAACTCATGGATCACTGTTTAAAAGTCAACTGTTTAAACCAATTATCTCTTGATCGTCTGTTTCGAATTACAGAAAACTAGCTTAAGTACATATTATTTACGATTGATAATGACCTAGAGACTTATTCTTTGGTAATATTGACCGTTATATAATTCCTAATTATTATTCAAGTCATTAAAACAAGTAATATGACTACATAAAAGCTACCTTATTATAAACCAGACCTCACCAGATGATGTGGTGCGACCGAGAGTGGGGAGAGTCCGCTCTCCTTCTCAAAATGCTCTCACATAGCCACGCATATATAGCCTCTGTCAGGGAAGTCTTTCTCACTGTGTTCTTGTGGAGAGGATGTTGTTTACCAAAGCGAGAGGACGAAAAGCGAATGTCCGGTGATTAAACTAGGTTGGTGGATACGGACAGTCCACCTAGGAGAGTTAGAAAACCCTGATTCCAAAGCAATAGTGCACATGGTCTCCAGTATCCTGAGGGAACCACATTGTCTACTCACTAAATCAGTCGTAATCATCTCTCGCTCTCTTGCCTGCTGTGAAGGTTTGATAGTTTATAACTGATCACTATGTACTCTGTTGATAGCATCTACATGAATGCAACACCTAACATATTCTTTGAGATATTGGGAAAAAACGTACTATCTCCTTAATGGTATATTTTTTAAATTGGTAATATTTACCTTATTTTAGTCAATGAAGAACAAATCACGTCACTGTCATCGAGTACAAAACAAAAAAAAGCGAGCGATCAAATCAAGATCGAAAATCACTCGAACAGTATTGAAACAAGATGAACATCATAAAGATTCGCCTCCATCGACTAGCGTAATATTGCAAAATTCACAGTAAGTTATTTCTTTCAGTATTGCTTTTATCGTACGTTTTATCATACGATATTGTTATGTAGCTTAAGAGTGAACTTGACCTTGGCCAGGATTCTAGTTCTATTTCTCGATCTAGGCATGTAATAGGATTGCATAGATGATACAATTCAATCATATGGAGAGTGGTAGATGATTATATTTGATCCATTAAACAAACTGAAAATTTTTTCATAGTTGAAATCATGAGTCAATTGAAGCTAGACCACTATGGAAAACCTGGAAGCATTGGACGGCCGTTTCGTCCTATTATGGGAATTCTCAGTGGCAGTGCGCATCCACGATCCCGCACCCGCGAGCGAGATTCAAAACCCAGGACATACCAGCTTCGCGCTGGAGCACTTAACCGACTCATAATTTCAACTATGAAAATACTGAAATATCCTTCTGATCTAAACTGAAAATTGGCAATTTTTGGCAAGCTATTAATTTAAAGTTAACCGATCAATGGTCGATACGAATATAGTGGACATTGAAAAGTTAAATATGATAAGCAACAAATTAACCAATCAGAATAACAAATCTACTTTATGTTTTACGCTTTATAGATTATGAGATATATATGTACACTTTAAGTAGATACTAGATAAATGTAATGAATTAGAAAGAGAAGGTTAGGAAGATTAGAATAACAGTGTAAGACACTTGTTCATGAAATGGTTGTTGTCAACAATTCAAGTATGGATTAGTTGAAGTTAGATACCGTTGTATGCCGGCCAGATCAGTGGTCTAGAGGTTAAGTGCTGTGGCGTGAGACTGGTAGGTCCTGGGTTCGAATCTCGCGAGCGCGGGATCGTGGATGCGCACTGCCACTGAGGATTCGCATAGTAGGACAAAACGGCCATCCAGTGCTTCCAGGTTCCCCATGGTGGTCTAACTTCAATTGACTCATGATTTCAACTATGAAAATATTTCAAGCTACAATAGCAGCTTTCTATGCATTTAAATCCACTTCATCAATCACTTTTGAGTAATCAAAGCAGAATTTACATCTTTATTCAATGAAGTGTTGTTTGATTATTAATGACATACATTACGTTCGTAAATAAGTCGTATTGTAAACTGAATAGGTAACTGGAATTCAAATAGGATCCTATCCCCGATCTAAATCTGCTTTATTGCTTTCATTTATGCAAAGATAAGTTAAGTTTATTCTCGCTTTACAATCAAAGATAATATAAACCCCCTTCTGGAAAGTTCAAAATGTAGATTTGGTTTGAAGGATGGTGATTTTGATAGGTTAGGTCCTTGGTTCGATCCGTGAGTACGGGGTCATGAATGAGTACCGTTTAGTAATCCCACACTAGGACGAAACGGTCGTTCAATGTTCCCAGGTTTTGAAGGGTGATCTAACTTAAATCGGTTCATGATTTCAATGATACTCAACAATTTCCACAACCGTTTACTAACGATTCGATATGAAAATTAAAAAGTTGAGCATAAAATGTGGACCGTACGGACTGATCAATAGAGAATTGAATCTAGTAACCGGTTGTAAGTTAGGTTTTCGTCTAAACTACAAACTATACTCTTGTATTGGTAACCTAGTATTTCTGAATGAAGAGTATTTTGATCGATTCATTAGGAGTATATGCTTCATAATTGCTTCAATACAAAAGGAAACTTAGCTACGAGAGGAAAGTTAAAGTTACGTTGAACACTTTACTGGATTAATTATAATATAGATTGTCTCATTCACAAATTCAGTCAGTTATACAATAGACCAATCCTCTCAGATCTATTCAGTTGCAATTTAAGAACCAGTTTCGTGTGTAATTTGTCAGTTCACCCACAGTAGTCATTCCAATAATTCTATTAAATTTTTATTACATATTGGACAATCGTTTTGGCTAACTGTATTCAGGATGTTTTAGTGGTTTTCACTAACTATTAGAAGGATGAGCAAAGATGGATAGTGGCTAGCAGTGGAATACAGAACGCGCGTTTCGTCCTGTTTGGGACTCGTCAGTCGGATGTACCGGAATCTCAGAGTTGATGTTTACTCTGGGACTCGGACCCAGTGCCTTTCGCTTCAAACGTCCTGGATTCCACTGCTAGCCACTATCCATCTTTGCTTACCATGCTTGTGAATTAAGGTTATATCGAGGCAATACGCACAGTATGCATATATGCCAATTAGAGACTGACCATTTGCAGTCCTAAGACATCAATGGGAAAATTCAAATGAACAATACTAAGTGAATTTTTTAGAAGGATGAGTTTATCGGTAACCTTTTTAGTATTTACTGAGTACTTGGCATCCGTCACTTACGGTCACCATTTAGTTCATTTAGTAGGTAACTGATCTACATTACAGTTTAGTTTTTGTTAAACATTTCATTTCAAACCCTAAATCTCTTAATGTTCGTGTTCCTCACTTGAAATATTTTGTTGTGCTACACTGTATGTGTTTTCAGAGAACAGCTACGAACAACTTCAGATTATGAATACGACCTCTGGAGCCAATCCATCAGGACCAGCTGCTCTTCCTCGTTTCAGATTACCTATAGCCTTTTGAACTTCAAGTAGGGTCGGGGGGCCTACTTCAATGTTCCATTCAGGTTTTTTAGGAATAGTGGGTAGTTGTGCAGTAGCTGAAGGCCAGCTAAACTGCTCCTTAAAATGTTCCGCCCATCGTTCTAAACGTTTGGGTAGAGAGCAGATAAGGGTTCCATCTTTTTCCGAGATCGTCTCACTTACACTTGACTTCTTAATTCCAGTTTCTTTTATTAGTCTGAATAGTTGCCTGGTGTTGCCTATAGCCGCTGCCTTTTCCATCTCTTTTGCTTTCGTTGCCCACCACTGCTCACGATCGTTCCTTAGACTTTTAGTTAACCTAGATCTAATTTGTTTACGCTCTTCGTCATGTTCAGAGCCTGATGGGATGAGTTTACGCGAAACCATCAGTGAAATAGACTTAGAAGAAATCCACTGGTTTTTTGGAGCCCTATGGTTTAAATGACTAATAGATGTTACTGCTGTTTCCACAGCTGTTCGTATGCCTTTCCAAGCAGCATCTGGGTCAGTCTCGTTTACAGAACTGCCTAGATGTGAACTCAGTTGTCTCTGGAATTCGCATTTGGCTTTCTCGTCCTCCAGTTCAATCCTAACGGGTCTTCTTAGTTTACTTTTCCTGCGTCCATTGAGGCGCAGACAAATGCGTGCTCGTATTAAAGCGTGATCAGAGTCTAAACAAGTATTCCAATACGAGCGACAATCTTCTATTGAGCCTCTCCAACGATGACTGATGACAATATGGTCTATTTGAGTCCATCGTTGGTTTGGTGCAGGTGGTCGCCATGTTAGACGATGTCTCTCCTTATGTTTAAAATTAGTGCTTGCCAAAAATAAACGATTGTCTGAGCATAGTTGCAACAGACGATCACCATTATCGCTTCGTTGAGCCGGAATACTAAAACACCCACCTAGATGTCTTTCTGTTTGATTTAAGCTACCTACCTGGGCATTAAAGTCACCCGCTACGACTACTATGTCTGAGCGCTTAGCTTTCTGAAGAAGCTCAGAGAGCTTTCTGTAAAAGTCATCTTTCACCTCATCATGGCTGCAGTCAGTGGGAGCGTAGGCAGAAACGACGAAAAGGCAACGACGTGTGTCCCTATCCTTCGGAGTTCTTACGGAGCCATTTAGCCGGACAGCACACAGGCGACTGTTAACGGGGATCCATTCTAATAGTGCCTGTTCTGCCCTTGTACTTAGTGCTATACCTACACCTGCAAGTCCACGAGAACTAGCCAACGGGTCGCCAGATACACGGAGGGTGTATTTCGTTGGCTGTCCATTTTGGCGAGGTGAGGTCAAGTGAATTACCACACTAGGATCCTGTATGCGTGTTTCGGAGACACAGCATACATCAATGGTACGCGACTCTAAGGTTTTAGCTAAGGAGGCCTGTTGTCCGATTTGACTTAAAGTACGTACGTTGAAGGCTCCAATGTGTAGTTTGGAGCGAGGTTTTAGTAGACCTGGGACAGCGTTTCGCGCACTAGAATCGTTGGCCATGGTGACACTTGAGGAGGAAACCGAGAGAGGAAGTTTAGTGTTGAAAGTCAAGGTAGTAGGAATTGAAGAAGGAGATTGATTATGAATACAGTGGTCTTGAGTGTTGTTAGAGGTATGAGGGCAGTTATCACTTCCCGGTTGCCCACACCGTGGAAGGATTCTTCTAGAGGTACCTGAAAAGGAAATTGGGTTAGAAGTGGTCTTAATGACCTGAGAGCGTGACCGCAGTGCCCAAGGGACAACTGCTTGAGGTCGGTCACACACGACCTTTTTGTGGGTTGTTTTTGTGTTAGCTCCGTTCTTTAAAAAAAAAACCTTACCGCCGGAGACGGATATCCGTGGGATAAGGCGAGGTGTGCATTTTTAGGGTCGACCTTTTCTAACCCCACCCCTCCTTGTGGGAAGGCAGCATCGCTGTCATGCTGGTTGTCTGAAGGAAACACCTTACTGCTTTCACACCTCTGTACAGTCAGCAGTACGACTTCGCCTTCGGACCTTGGGTTTGCTGCTTTTAGTCTCACCGCTCTTCAACCGACCTGTCTGGCATGGTAGGACCTCGAGGAACGATTGTTCCAGCCAGCATAGCTCGATTGGATCATCACGATAGGCAAGCCCGACCACCACGTCAAGGTAGCAGCAACGGTCGGGCAACTTCAGATACTTGAAATCAAATCTTTGATGAAATTACTTTTCAATATCCAGTACTCTTCCATCAAATGAACTGACAAACGGCACAATGTCCTGAATATAACACAGTTATTAAACATAGAGAACGTTGCCAATAGCTACATTATTGGTATTAATCTGTAGTTGTGTTATTTATTTATTTATTTAAACACATAAATATTGAAACAAAGGGGCACCAAATACATATGCACAACACAAGTCACTTGATTTGTGTGTGGGCTGTGATACTACGCGGGTGTCCAAACCGAACTAGATGGTTTTCATAGGAAGCCACACCCGAAACCTTCAACCTAAAGATCTGATCCACAAGGCAGTGGAGCAACATAAAGAGATGCAGTCTCATGGTAGCCGGTGACCAACAATAGGTTCATACACCATTTATTACCTCAAGATCCTGGATCCCATGTACACCATTAGTTTGGAATCAGGGTTTTCCAACTCCCCTAGATAGATACTCCCTATCCATATAGTTGCGTTAAATGAATAACAAGATAGTAAGAATTATCAATACCCTTTAGCATTCTTAAACGTTTATTCATTGACATCTGTTTACAAATTACAACTACTTTTAAACTATAAACAGTTCATCGATTATATCTTGTTGTAGATCAACTGGTCTAGTTTATGATGAACGTATGCTTAAACATAAACATGAATGGTTTATTGAAGAACAAGAAAGTCCACGTCGTATTCAACAAGCATTTCATCGTTGTATAGAAGAAAATTTAGTTTCACGATGTATACGAGTACCGGTAAGTTAGGATTTTCGCAAGTTGAAATTAACAATTTTTTCAATTTATGCAACCTAAAATTGATGTTGTGTTCACAAGGTGTTCGACAGGAATCCTTAACGGTTCTAAGCTTCATGATAGTCAGTACTCGTCAGGTAGTCCTATTTGCGGTTTTGGAGAAACCGGTGCTTCCTGTAGAATTCGAACTCATATCAGCCACGTTCATAATCTGAGAGGTCACTACTTAGCTACTTGGGCTGTGAGTTACCTTCAGTAGGATTACTTTTCTGTCCTTTGATATCCATTCAACTAGTGTTCCTTACTTAAACTCTACCAATCTCATACTGTAATGGTTTATTTGATCTTGCAATTAAAATGACCTAAACCGTGGAATTAACTTTACGAATTCTCGAAATTTCCGTCTGAATATATTCTCTCTAGAATATTCATTCGATTATCTCAACCTGAAGCTCTAGTATATTGGATATAGAGCAATCAGTAAGATCTAAAATGCTTGTTTCATACTGTTTGAAAATCATCAGATGGATGAACCTGATTTGCAATGTTGATGTTCACATGACGACTCAAGCCTAGTATCTTTCGATTGAAATACTCAATCCGTTAGTTGATGTGCTGCTGAGAGAATTATCAGAACCTATACTGCGAAAATACAAATCCTTAATAGTATCATAACCTTATTAAAAGGTTTTCATAGAGTAGTTGGTTTTACTTCGTATTCATCACGTATTAACGTCAGTAAGGACACGATTGAAGAACACAATGGACTGAACAGATTTTGTACTACTAAAAATTGTGTACTCAAGATCTTGACAGTGGCTGAACAAGGAACATTTACATCTCAATTACTTACTTACTTACTTTACTTACGCCTGTTACCTCTCTTTTTGAGAAGCATAGGCCGTCCACCAGCATTCTCCATACAACTCGGTCATGGGCAGTCCTTTCCAGTTATTGTGGACTCCCGATTCACGGTGCGGTGTGTTCTTTGGTCTTCCTCTTCTGTTTCCATTAACGATTCCAAGTTAGCTCTTGATTCGTGATTTCCCCAAAGTATGTCCTATCCACTTCCAACGCCTATCCCTAATTTCCTGTTTAGTTCAAAGCTGGTTTGTCCTCTCCCACAGAAGGCTGATGTCGATGGTATCCGGCCAGTGAATGTTCAGTATTTTGCGTAGACAACTGTTTATAAATACTTGTACCTTCTTGACAATGGATGTAGTAGTTCTCAACGTTTCCGCTCCATACAGTAGGACTGTGTTGACGTTCATATTGAAGATTGTGACTTTGATATTGGTTGAGTGTTGTTTTGATTCACATATGTTGTTCAATTGTAGGAATTCGGTCCCTGCTTTAACAATCCTCGCCTTTACATCTGCATCAGATCCTCCTTGTTCATAGATGATACTGTCCAGATACGTGAAAGATTCCACCTCTCCTACAGTTTCTTCATCAAGTGTGATTGTGTTGGTGTTTTCCATGTTGTATTTAAGGATCTTGCTATTTCCTTTGTGTATGTTGAGGCCTATGGATAAAGAGACTACTGCTACACTAATTGTCTTCAACTGTATTTGTTGTTGTGTATGGGATAGGAGGGCTAGGTAATCTGTGAAGTTCGAATCGTCTAGTTGCATACAAGCTGTCCGTTGTATTCCGTGCTTCGCATGAGATGTGGAGGTCTTCATAATCCAATTAACTACCAGAAGAAAGAGAAAAGGTGAGAGAAAGCAGCCATGTTTGACTCTGTATGATATTGAAGAATTTCTCAGGTACGCCATAATGTCAAAGAAGGTTTCATAGGGTTATATTATCCACACTATCAAATACTTTCTCATAGTCAAGAAAGTTAATGTATATTGACGAGTTCCACTCAATTGATTGTTCAACGATGATCTATAGTGTCAAAAATCGGTCTGTCCACTACCGATCCTTACGTAATCCGATCTGTTGATCTCAAAGCTGAGTGTCTACTGAGTCTTTCATCCTCATCGACAAAACTCTGTTGAAAACCTTTCCTGGTGCCGATAGTAGTGTGACTATATTCTAGTTCTCGCATTTCATCAGATCTCCTTTCTTTGGTATCTTGATGAGATATCCTTCTTTCCAGTCCGTTGGCACTTGTTCCTACTCCCAAATATTCCTGAATAAAAGGTGAAGCATGTTTGCAGTTACTTCAATGTTTGACTTCAATCAGTTTAGTTACATAATAATTAATTCATTTAAAACCATCATAATCTAATTTCAAATTACTTTTAAAGAAACAATGATTATTCATTATTCATCATCAAGCGAACTACATTCAATTCATTAATTGATGACAGATTTCATTAAACCTTTGATCAATACCGACTATTAATGTAGTCAACAGTGAAGAATGACAATCTAATCTTGAAACTGTGTCAAACTACACCAATCTAAATGGTAGCTTATTGTCAAACACTTCATATATCATTTCGAACAAATCTTAAAGTATGATGATCAGATCAAATTGATCCCAAAATCTATGTAAAAGATTTCATTTATATCTATTCTTACATAATAATGATAATGTAACATAATAAAGTCTATTACTAGTACAAAAGTTTTGAGTTGATCATAGGTTAATTTTAATAAGAGACTAATTGAAAATCAATAAAGATTGAATAATAGTTTCAACTTATTAATAGTTTTGATCCATAATCTATTCAAGGATTGAAATCGGACACATTCAAGTATATCGGTGAGTGGTTAACCTTCAAATCATTGTGTTAACATTCGATGTTTACATGTCTAACTTCAGTTCATTTGTGATATTGTTAAACCATCTCCTAGTGACACTTACTTACTTACTTACGCCTATTACTCCCAGTGGAGCATAGGCCGCCAACCAGTATTCTCCAACCCACTCTGTCCTGGGCCTTCCTTTCTAGTTCTATCCAGTTGTTATTTATTCTTCTCATATCTGTCTCCATTTCTCGACGTAATGTGTTCTTCGACCTTCTTACTTTCCTTTTGAACTTCAGGATTCTATGTGAAGTATTGTCTTGTAATGCGATTGGGTGATTTCATCAATGTGTGTCCTATTCACTACCAGAGCTTCTTCCTGATTTCTTCCTCCACTGGAATCTGGTTTGTTGTCCACCACAGTAACTTGTTGCTGATAGTGTCTGGCCATCGGATCCGAGGTATTTTGCATAGACAATTGTTAATAAACACTTGTATCTTCTGGATGATGGCTTTCGTAGTTCTCCACGTCTCCGCCCCATACAGTAGAACTGTCTTGACATTCGTATTGAAAATTCTGATCTTCGTGTTGATTGACAATCGTTTCGAGTTCCAGATGTTCTTCAATTGTAAATATGCTGCTCTTGCTTTGCTGATCCTCTCCCTCACATCTGCATCTGATCTACCGTGTTCATCAATGATGCTGTCCAGATATGTAAAGGTTTCCACATCTTCCAAAGCTTCTTCGTCAAGTGTAGTTTGATTGGTGTATGTTGTATTGTATCGGAGAGTTTTACTTTTCCCTTTACTTATATTTGAGACCTACTGCTTCTGAGACTGCTGCTACACTGATCGTTTTCTCCTGCATTTGTTGTTGTGTGTGTGATAGAAGAGCCAGATCATTTGCGAAGTCTAAATCATCAAGCTGCATCCTGCTTGTCCAGTGTATCCCGTGATTTCCTCCATATGTTGACGTCTTCACGATCCTTAATAACCTAGCGCAAACTGATTATTAGGCGTAATGAACCATAATGTATATTTATAAATAATGTTGTTAGTAAATCAATAAATTGCTTTATTTACATGCAAATTCATGAACTTTCATTTGGTACATTTGACCGGATTTATTTTTGTGTGTCTATATTTTAAGAAATAAACAACCCTATTTCTAACTGAAATATAATTTTGAATATAATTTCCATTTTAATTAGATTAAAAATGAGTAACAGAACAAATTCAGGTTATTGTAATTATGAATCGTTCAGTGTTAGACCAACATTGAAAACTTGGAATCACTGGATGAACGTTTGTAGCTAATGTGGGACTCCTCTTTAGTGAGCAACTGTTATAAACTTAAAAGAGAGGATGCTGGTTATAACAGTAGGGGTTCTTGTTATAACAGTCCTTTTACTTCTTACACGTGTGTGGGACGTTAATTTATCTTAGACGAATATCTACACTAGATTCCCACCCAGTGTCTATTCTACAGGACTTCAACAGAACTCAGATCAAGAACACGAGATAAGCCTGACTATAACGTCAATATATTTCCACACGAAAATCCGACACAAAGAACAGTCAATCAATAAGTGTCCATCAACAAGGAACAGTCCATACATAATAAGGATAGGGGAATATATATATATATATATATATATATATAACACATAACACCTGTCATCCTATCTAATGTCTGACTCATCGAAACAACCAATCATTGTCATTCTCGCCCACACATCAGCAACCATGACCCCACATGCGGCATTCAAGATCAGAACTTTCTATCTCTCGCGAACCTTAACATCTCATCCACCTAATCAGTATTCAATGGTGTTAGTGTCTAACTTCAACCATTCCACGATGTTACGCGACCACCTACCATTGTCTTACGTGGTTAACTGCTTCAAACCGAACACGGTTGAACTCTACTGGTCACGGTTTCTCACTAGAACTCTGAGAATTACCTTTCGGAGCTAGTTAAAGTTAGAGATTTACAGCTTTGGTAGCCGGCTAAATGGTTGAAAGGTTAAGCGTTCTCGAATGGCCATCCAATGCTTTCAGATTTTCAGTGGTGGTCTAACATTGATCATTTCATGATTTTAATGAGACTCAACAATCTCTACAACCTCGAACTGAGAATTTAGCTTAAACAAACTGAGTATAGCAGTAGACTATTTCAACGTAATTAACATTGTTTATGGAGTAGAAATTTGTTTATTCACTTTTATTAATCACACTATTTCAAGGCAAATGATATCACCCGGCTATTTGAAGCTTTAATCTGTTAGTTGATAGCCGAGTTCTTTTAAATTACTTACGCCTGTTACCCCCAATGGAGCATAGGCCACCGACCAGCATTCTCCAACCCACTCCGTCTTGAGACTTCCTTTCTAGTTCTATCCAGTTTTTGTTCATTCTTCTCATGTCTGTCTCCATTTCTCGGTGTAATGTGTTCTTTGGTCTTTCTCTTTTCCTTTGGCCTTCAGGATGCCACGCCTAGAAATTATAGTTTCACAAAATTCAATATAAGAATTACGTATGATACATTTTTTTTTACTTTAGTGAAGATTCAAACAAACAATACTAAGTGAAGTTAAACTTCACCCCATCGCACAAGCAAGTGGCTATCACGACTCGGTGGCCGAGTGGATAACCCGACGGCGTTTGAAGCGAGAGGTGCTGGGTTCGAGTCCCCGAGTGTACATCAACTTTGAGATGCAGGTACATTCAGCTGACGAGTGCCAAATAGGACGAAACGTGCTTTGTCCTGGATTCCATTGCTAGCCACTATCCATCTTTGCTTATGATATTTGATATACTGACTTTCTAATCGATTACAAGTTTCCAGAAAATGTTAATCGTTAAGTTCCTAAACAGAATATAGAAGGTGGGGAATATAAAAGGAAGTGTACTTTATGAGTTAGGAAAAGTTAAATTATTTGTTAATTTTTTAACCTCTAAAAAAGTTTTCTAGGAGTTATTGATGACTTAGCGACATGTAGAAACTTCAGTTGAATTAATTAATTCTAAACAGGATACAGTGGACAAGCAGGATGCAGCTTGATGATTTAGACTTCGCAGATGATCTGGCTCTTCTATCACACACACAACAACAAATGCAGGAGAAAACGATCAGTGTAGCAGCAGTCTCAGAAGCAGTAGGTCTCAAATATAAGTAAAGGGAAAAGTAAAACTCTCCGATACAATACAACATACACCAATCAAACTACACTTGACGAAGAAGCTTTGGAAGATGTGGAAACCTTTACATATCTGGACAGCATCATTGATGAACACGGTAGATCAGATGCAGATGTGAGGGAGAGGATCAGCAAAGCAAGAGCAGCATATTTACAATTGAAGAACATCTGGAACTCGAAACGATTGTCAATCAACACGAAGATCAGAATTTTCAATACGAATGTCAAGACAGTTCTACTGTATGGGGCGGAGACGTGGAGAACTACGAAAGTCATCATCCAGAAGATACAAGTGTTTATTAACAATTGTCTATGCAAAATACTTCGGATCCGATGGCCAGACACTATCAGCAACAAGTTACTGTGGTGGACAACAAACCAGATTCCAGTGGAGGAAGAAATCAGGAAGAAGCTCTGGTAGTGAATAGGACACACATTGATGAAATCACCCAATCGCATTACAAGACAATACTTCACATGGAATCCTGAAGGCGAAAGAAGAAGAGGAAGACCAAAGAACACATTACACCGAGAAATGGAGACAGACATGGGAAGAATGAACAAAAATTGGATAGAACTAGAAAGGAAGGCCCAGGACAGAGTGGGTTGGAGAATGCTGGTCGGCGGCCTATACTCCTTTGGGAGTAGCAGGCGTAAGTAAGTAAACATTGAAATCAGTGGAAATCACTTATGAACTATGGCTAAAATAGCTACAAAATATATAATTAGTAAAGTTGACAGATCATGTATGAAAATATTCTTGTGTTTTCTAGTGTTTCATTGCTTACTTACTTACTCCTTTTGCCCCTTCTCGATGAGCATAGGTCGCTCACCAGCATTCTTCATTCAATTTTTATCATGGGAAATCCTTTCCACTTCTTTCTAGTTGCTATTCATCCTTTTTATATCTGCTTTCAATTCTCGTTGCAGTGTGTTCTTCAACCTTCCTCTTTTCCATTTTCCTTCAGTATTCCAAATTAGTACGTGATTCGTGATGCAGTTTGATGATTTTCTTAATATGTGTCTTATCCACATCCAATGTCCTTTTCTAATTTCCTTCTCAAATCGAAGCTGGTTTGTTCTCTCCTATAGTAGGTTATTGCTGTTAGTATATGTAGTGTTTCCTAATTTTCAGTAATTATTTAATGTGTCAATTCATGATGGAAGTTACAAAAGACTAGCTTAAAAATGAGTTCCTTGAATATTTTTTTTTAGTGAAAAGCTATAATTTGTAAATTTAACCGCATCAATTATCAGCCACTTACTTAGAAGGTAACATTATTCGACAGTTTAACTATGTAGTAAATCGATTGGATTTAGATTAATGTAAAAGTATTCTCATAGTGTATTAATAATGCCCTGAAATGCTCTGGTTCAGTCGAAAGTGGGAAGAGTCAGCTCTCTCTCTCTCTCTCTCGAAATGCTCTCACATGACCACGTGTATACAGCCACTGTTAGGGAAGTCCTACTCTCACTGCATTCTCGAGGTGAGTGTGTTGTTTACCAAATTGAGAGGACAAAAAGCAAATATCCGGCGCTTTGACCGGGTTGATGGACATGAATGATTTACTTAGAGGAGTTGGAAAACCCTGATTCCAAACTAATGGTGTACATGGATTCCAGGATCCTGAAGGAACAAATGGTGTATGAACCTATTGTTGTTCACCGGCTACCATGGGAATGCATCTCCTTACGGTGCTCCACTGCCTTGTGGGTAAAACACTAGGTTTGGTTATATATAAAATCAAACTTCAATCGATACTATTATGATAAACTGTTTTTAAACATGTTTTGTTTTTAATGATTCATCTTATTGTTTCTAGGGTGTGTTTTTTAGCGAGTTAGTTTTCTACAAGATGGGGTCGCTAACTCCATACCCAACCCTCCTCCTTTATCCGGGCTTAGGACCGGCAGTAGCCTCAGAGGGGCTACAGATGGAGTTTATTGTTTCTAAATTATAAGCAGATGAATTGAACAGTTGAAATGATGAAATAAATTTGGTATTTAGTTAATAATGGAATGTAGAACTCATGTTTTGACTTATTTATAATCCATCGGAGGTGAATGTACATCTACATCATATTGTTGATGTTCACATGATGATCTAAATTTCAGAAACTGTCGTTTTAAATGTCAACAAGTTATTCACTGAACTATTCTGAGTATAGATAGTCAATAACTTAATTAAAGTGTATGTATTGATTTGTAAAGGATTATGTTTAACCGAAGTTGATAATTAAATCTTCAATTGATCAATATTGGTATCCATTTGGATCCTTGATGAATTGGTGTGATGAATCCGGTGTTCATCTTGTTGTGCTAACGAGGTATGGCAACTTGGACCAATACATAAATGTTCCTGGTCCTACGTTGTAGCTGACTAACTGACTGACTGGTGTGATATTTCCTTGCAAATAGTTTTTTTTATCAAGAAGTTGTAAACAGTAGAGTTTATTAATCTTAAAAGTGAGATATATTTATTTTAAAAGTTCGATAGTTTTCACGTTATGTAGCCAGTTGGTTGAAGGAATACATGTGAACCTTTGATTTTGAATTTATTTCTATCATCATTTTCATAGTTGAAATCATGAATCAATTGAAGCTAGATCGTCATGGAAAACCTGGAATCACTGGACGGCCGTTTTGTCCTATTAGGAGAGTCCTCGGTGGCAGTGCGCATCCACGATCCCGCCTCGCGAGATTCGAGACTGATAGGTCCTGGGTTTGAATCTCGCGAGGCGGGATCGTGGATGCGCACTGCCACTGAGGAGTTCCATAATAGGACGAAACGGCTGTCCAGTACTTCCATGGTAGTCTAGCTTCAATTGACTCATGATTTCAACTATGAAGATACTGAAATATCCACAAAAAACCCCTTCTGATTCATTTGTATCAGTTCATCAAGTTTATTAATAGATTTTGAATGTGTTGAGTCAAACTACGTGTTATCTCTGAAACCTTTTATTCATAATCTGTATCTAATCCATAGTTTTCTAATTTTGTTTTCTGATATTGTAATCCTTCTTTTAACAGGCTTGTCCTATCAGTGAAGATGATTTAACTCTTGTACATGATAAATCGTATGTGGAGAAAATTAAACAGTCGTGTCATATGTCAAATCGTGAATTATATTCATTATCCGGAGAATATGATGGAGTATTCTTTAATCGGGTATGTTCAAGCTTTCGACTGTTTTACATTTTACTTTTGATTTGTGTCCTGTTATGAAGGGGGTTGTTCGAAACCTGATGACGATACATGACGTGCTACGCACCTACCTCCAAACTAACTACCTAAGCGTGGACACAATTGTGGACTGAAAATTATGTTAGGTAACCGAATAATACGCACAAACACTAATGTATATATACGTTGGCGATGTGCTGGTCGCTGGCGATCCGACTCACAGTGATGAGGCGACCAACGACACAGTGTAGCTTGTGATTGACTGGTCGGTGTGATGCATCGAGTGATGTCGGATCAAAAGCCCGCCAGATCCAGCGAGGCGGATTCGAACCACCGACCTAAGGATCACTGCACCAATCTACGGTCCTCCGATCTACCAACTGAGCTATTGCCGGACGTCCGCTCGCACACAAACACATCGCTTCACACTGCAATCCATCACCAACAACACAACACACATACTCACAATTATCCCACACAATCAATCATCTCATCCTACATTCAACACTCGTACACACGTAACCTAGAATATAAAAAACACACAATACAATTGAACGCCAAGTCAATCAGTGATGTACCGCACTCTTAACCAATCATCCAATCCTTCACGCTATCATGCATGCATTCATTCGTTCGTTCATTCACTCACTCAGTCATTGAGATACTTAATCGATCACTCGGTATGTGTTCGTCTGACCACCTGAAAGATATTGAATAGACTCAATCTAGTAGATGAATGCATCAGATGTGTAGTCGAAAATCGGTGTGATGCGACATAACGGATGGGCAATAGTGGAATGTGATACGATGATTAGGCGGGAGACCGGTTGTCCAGACGATTCGGATGACCACGTCACACAAACAATACATAAACATACCTTACACAATTTATATAACAGGAGTATTTTTGAATGTCCACTTAAAATGAAAATGTCCTTTGGTATTGTACTCTTTCTTTTATATGTTACTCTACAAGACTGTTGAAAGTAGGCAATATACCCTTCATTTTGAATTGACACAAACTATAGAATGGTTGGAAGTTAAATAAGACTAAATATCTATTTAGCCTTACATCAATATTTACCAAAAGCATGAATTCATCATCACATATACCATTGAATTTAGATTTTTCAAATCAGTTCACCATGGAGAACCTGGAAGCACTGGACGGCCGTTTCGTCCACGAAACCCCTTTCCGAAAAATTTTTGTTTAACAGTTAAGCATAACTTATTTTTACATATTATACATTCTTTAGTGTAGATTTTAAGTACAATTATTTTCTACATTTTATTCATTATTCACAATCTATTCATGACATATTATCTCATATGTATAGTTGAATTCATCAGTCAATCGAAGCTAGACCATCATGGAAAACCTGGAAGCACTGGATGACCGTTTCGTTCTATTGTGAGACTCTTCAGCAGTGAGCATCCACGGTCCTGCCTTATATGCTTACTAGTGACTGGCGTCAATAGGTATTTCTTGGTGTTTTAGTGAGAAGCAGTAACCAGTGGAGTTCAACCGGGTCTGTTGTAAGATACCAACTCACTGAAGACAATTGTGGATGGTTGCTCAGATTTCGTGGATTGGTTGAAGTTAGATATTAACACCGTTGGATGCCGTCAAGTTCAGTGGTCTAGTGGTTAAGCGCTCGTGTGCGAGACTGATAGATCCTAGGTTCGAATCTCCAGAGGTGGGATCGTGGAGGCCCACTACCGAGGACTGCCACAATAGGATGAAACAGCCATGTAAATTGTATTCAAATCAATTAACCACCTATAAACACAACCATTACAACACCCACATAATATTTAACGTTGAATGTAATTCATTTATAAGATCTATTTAATGATCAATAATGAAAAAACTAAGTTACTGATTATTTAGTTAGTTCCAAACTTGTGTGCCAAAAAAAAATACATGAGAACTATTTGACAAACTAGAAAAGAAAATATGTGGTGAGACCTCTAGTTTATAGATGAACCAATCAAATGTAAACACGAAATTCATTCATCTATTTGATCGAATCATATCTTGGCATTGTCAATTGATGATGAAATACCTTCAAGTGAATTCCTTAACCTTAACTATTCACTGTGAATTATATCCTTTATTTAATCGTAGTAAGTAGGAAGGTCATTCTGAAGGTCACTTTGGCGTTGTTCAATGGTCATCTATAAATTATAATTTCATAGTTGAAATCATGAGTCAATTGAAGCTAGACTACCATGGAAGAACTGGAAGCACTGGACAGTCGTTTCGTTCTTTTATGGGACTCCTCAGTCTAGTTTCATCAAATGTTTATTCATCCTATAGTGAAGAATATCAAAATTCATTTATTGACTAAGAGTTTAATGATATAATCCTTTTAGATACTTTAAATAGTAAAAATTTATAATTAGAAGGTGATATCATTTATTTATAGTAGAGTTAAGTGAGATAATAATAATAGTGTCTAAGTGTTTTACAACGATACTATAAGACATAGGGGAGCCAACAAAATATCTTCATACACATACTTTAATATCGATTTTATTAACATTAAGTAATAGTTGAAATTTACATGTTTGGATGTCCGTCTCCTACTAGTATGGGACTCGTCAGCAGTGTATACCCACGATCACGCACGTAGGATCCAAACACAAGACCTTTGATCTCGCACGCGAACGCCTAACCTTAAGACTACTGAATCGGGGTTCAACGGCGTTAATGACTAACTTTAGTCGATCCACGATATTACGCGACTATCTTCCATTGTCTTCGGTAGGTATCTGCCTCAAGCTCAATACGGTTGAGCTCCAATGGTCATGGCTTCTCACTATAACTCCGGAAATTCTCTCTCGAAGTTAGTCACTAGTTACCACATAACTATTTCTATGGCATTTTGGATTTCAATAATGAACTACCGCAAACAAGCTTCTTATTAGATTCATCTTTGTGTTTTGTTTGCGAGTTTTTCTTATGATGAATTACTTCTATGAACCTAGTTACCAGCAAAATGAAGATAGTACTTCATTTCCTTTAAACGGATTTATTAATTGTACAACTTCCCTGATAAGTTGATTTTCATTTATCTTCAACTGATTTAGCTCTCAGTTCTAAGTTGATGAAATGTTTACATTTTGCTGTTCTAAAGAAATGACTTACTCCCATCACAATAAACCTTTCAGACAATATTTAGTCCAGTGCTTCCAGGTTTTACTTGGTGGTCCAGCTTCAGTTGACCCATGCTTTCAACTATGAAAATGTGTCGTAACTTAGTACAGTTGGCAATACGAATCGGGACTCGGACCTGTGATCTACTGTTATTGCTATCCAGTCAACTTCAGGAAATATAGCTCAACTGGATTGACCAATTCGTTCATCAGAACATCTATAGTCAAGTCGCAATGAACCAGGTTATACTTTCATATTGTGATTGTCGTTCACACACATACGACTACATTTGCTAACCTAATTTATTTCATTCAGTCGACGGAATGTCCGCTTTATCGGGCAATGGACAGTTAAATCTTATTAGGCATAAGTGGACTGCTTGATAACTGTTCGTTTGCGTTCAGACCATTCGACAAAGTATAGCTAACATCAACGAAGATGATGACAAACACTCTCACTATCGAGCTCATGCATACGATGACCAGCAAATGTAATCAGCTACCAAGAATAACACGAGGGGACAGGACCACCAACCTACACCACCACGAAGCTTGGTGACTAGGCAGGTTGGACTTCGTCATGTCATACACGCCGTCCCTCACCCCACATTGGACAGATACGTAGCGCCACACCGTATATGAATAATGCCACTCACTGTCGTATACACGCGTGGTCTTCAATCTAACGAGAACACCCCATAACCCGTACTCAATCGATACTCATGAGAGCGCTGCAACACTATTCTAATCTCCGTCCATTCGAAACGGTAATCAACTCCGCCTACTACGAACTGGATACCCAACTATTAACTGGATATCAGTAACTAATTAGCGTTGTTAGCTGACAACAAACTAACGAAGCATGGGACGGTAGCGAGGAGTGTCACGGAATCATCTAAACACCTCATGACACCTTACGAGGACTGAGCGCACACTCAACAAGACTAGTACGACACAAGTAGTTACTTTGAGACGAAAATGACGCCAGCGTTAAATAGTGCATTTACTTGGCCGCACAATGATAGAAAAAAATTAAGCAAAAAATCGATTTATTGAAAGGAATAAGCTGAACATTTAGTTGAATTTTGCTTTATGCATCTTCAAGTTCCTCTTCGAAATCACCTTCTTCCTCGGCGGTTGCATCTTGATATTGCTGATACTCGCTCACTAGGTCGTTCATATTAGATTCTGCTTCGGTAAACTCCATCTCATCCATACCTTCGCCAGTGTACCAATGCAAGAAAGCCTTTCGGCGGAACATAGCCGTGAACTGTTCAGAAACACGTTTGAAGAGCTCTTGGATGGCAGTACTGTTGCCAATGAATGTCACGGACATTTTCAGTCCACGGGGTGGAATATCGCAGACAGCAGTCTTGACGTTATTCGGAATCCAATCCACGAAGTAACTGGAATTTTTATTTTGAACGTTCAACATTTGCTCATCGACCTCCTTCATAGACATACGGCCACGGAAAATAGCTGCAACTGTCAAATAACGCCCATGACGCGGATCACATGCAGCCATCATGTTCTTTGCATCAAACATTTGTTGAGTTAACTCAGGAACAGTGAGTGAGCGATATTGTTGACTGCCACGGCTAGTAAGCGGTGCAAAGCCAGGCATAAAGAAATGCAGACGCGGGAATGGTACCATATTTACGGCTAGCTTCCGAAGATCGGCGTTCAACTGTCCGGGAAACCTGAGACAAGTAGTGACTCCAGACATTGTCGCGCTGACCAAATGATTCAAGTCACCGTATGTAGGGGTTGTAAGTTTTAATGTTCGGAAGCAGATGTCATAAAGCGCTTCATTGTCGATGCAATAAGTTTCATCGGTATTTTCAACCAGTTGGTGGACCGACAAAGTTGCATTGTAAGGCTCGACAACTGTATCAGACACCTAAAAATTAAATCCAAAAAAACTTGACTTAATTTCAAATAAATACACATGGACTAATCGGACAAATACCTATTACAGAAGCTATCTCTTTAGCCGCCGTCCTGGTACTATATGGATAAAACCAAACTAGGACCCCATGGAAACACAAAACGACAGCATGATAAGAGCAGAGTAGCTCTAAAGCTCTATGAACGACAGAACTTCTCAATACTCAGAGGAAATGTTTGACCCACAAATTAAAACTTCAGTTTTCTGGGCAAATTTTAGTTTACCTTGTCGTTTAGATAATTTAATTTGAAATCACATAATCACTCACTTTTGGTGAAGGGACGACCGAGAATGTATTCATAATCCGATCAGGATACTCCTCACGAATTTTCGAGATCAACAGTGTTCCCATTCCTGAGCCAGTACCACCACCGAGCGAATGAGTCAGTTGGAAACCTTGAAGGCAGTCACAAGATTCCGCTTCTTTTCTGACCACGTCCAAAACGGAATCCACAAGTTCCGCTCCTTCAGTGTAATGACCTTTGGCCCAATTATTTCCAGCGCCACTCTGTCCGAATACGAAATTATCAGGACGGAAAAGTTGACCGAAAGGTCCTGCACGAACACTATCCATTGTGCCCGGTTCTAAGTCCACTAAGATAGCTCGTGGAACATATTTGCCACCGGATGCTTCATTGTAGTAAACATTGATTCGCTCAAGTTGTAAATCCGAGTCACCATGGTATGTTCCAGTTGGATCGATGCCATGTTCGTCGGAAATAACTTCCCAGAACTGTAGCGAAAAAAGTAAAAGATGACGAGTAAGCAAATGCCAACAAGTAATCACAAGATTAACAATGAAAACCTGTAATCCCACTTACTTTGGCACCGATTTGGTTACCACATTGACCCGCTTGTATATGAACAATCTCACGCATGTTGAAACAAAGAAAACACGACACCGAAGTTGTCTTAAGCCTGATTTTAAATATATATATATAAAACTAGATAATCGATTCCTTTGGACTGATAAACAAACGATATGATTGGATAAAATTAAATAAATTATTTTTTCACTCTCTTTCTATAATTTGATTGGTCAATTCATTGTCTATAAATGTGGGTGGTGTCATACTGACGCATCATATTGTATATTACTATTTATAAACATTACTGCTAACTGATTGGTTACATGGGCTGGTAGTCAGACTGATGACTTTCGATTTATTGATTGATGTTATTTTTTGCCCTCTTATTCAATAATATTAATAATGTAAATAGGTCTGACCTTTAAAATGATCAATATTATCTGACCTTATTGTTGTTTCGATGGTTGATTTGAGGATTTAAGACTTGTAAACATAATCATCTTTGTCTTTATTATAGAATGTTTCATTCATACAGATTTATTACTTGGCTCTGATACTTCACTTCATATGTATAAAACTTGTCATTCTTTCCTCTTAAGTAATCAATAAAACTAAGTTGTTTTGATCTTATTCAGGTTAACAATATTTAACATTGAGTAGACGACTATATTCATCGTATATATTAGCTCTGTTTTAGTGTACAAAAAGAATATATCTGATTGTTTTGTTTCACCATGGTCTTTGCATCCCTTGTAACTTTATAAATTGATGATATCAGTTATTCTCTCGTTTTTAATTCACAAGCATTCTGAGCAAATATGGATAGTGACTAGCAGTGGAATTTAGTTTGACACGCGTTTCGTCCTAATTGGGCCTGGTCAGTTGGATGTGCCTTCATCTCAGAGTTGATATTCACTTGGTTCGAGTCCCAGAGTGAACATGAACTCTGTGGTGCAATCAGATCCAGCTGATCAGGTCCAAATAGAACGAAACGCTCGTCAAACTAGATTCCACTGCTAGTCACTATCCATTTTTACTTAAAATCTCGAGTTTAATTTAGTGAACATGATAATCCGTCAATTACAGATGAATAAAAATTGCTCACTAATAAACGGTTCGTCCTATTGTGAGACTCCTCAGCAGTGGGCATCCACAATCTCGCCTCTCGAGATTCGAACCCAGGACTTATCACTCTCTCGCGTGAGCGTTTAACATCTAAAACATTGAACTTGCCGGCATCTAATAGTGTTAATGTCTAACTTCGACCAATCCACGAAATTGATCAATCGTCCATTATTGTCTTCAATGAGTTAGTATTTCACAACAGACCTGGTTGAACTCCACTAGTCACTGCTTCTCCCTAGAACTTCAGGAAATATCTCTTCAATCCAGTAACTAGCGATTATTATCAGAAGGGGATTTCGTAGCAGTGGTAACGAATATAGCTCACGAAAGGAAATCGTCCTCGACAAGTGAATTAATATTAATCTCTTCCAGAAACACCATCAGTTAGATTATCTTAGTTTTATTGGTTATTCTAAAAGATTTTGAAATATTAGAAACGGAAATACAATCGAGAAAATTATACTGTACTATATTGATATCTTTTTCTAGATGAGGTACCATATTATATAGAGTCTCAGGTACTTAGATATAATACCTTCATGAAAATTGAACCATAAGTTACAGTATTTTCATTTTAAAAAAGTTACAAAGTTATGGATCAGTTACAAAAAAAAATCAAGTACTCACTAATGAAATATGGATAGATTTTGTCTAGGAATGGAGTCTAGAATACCCATTTCGTCCTATTTAAGACTCGTTAGCTTGATGTGCCCTGCATTTCAATATTGATGTTGATATTTGAACTCTGGAAAATATAAATTTTGAATAAGTCAGTAATTATCTGGATTCAATAGCTCAGTGGGTAACATTAGCACGTGTAGCAAAATATATTGGGTTCGAGTCGTAAGGTGAACGTAAATACTGGGGTTAATTTACTAGTATTACTAGTATTTGACCGCAGATGCCTTAGAAATATTGCTCGCATCTGCTGGGATAACCGGGTAAGTAATAGTGAAGTTAGACGCAGGGTATTAGGGAATGATGGTAAATCAGTTGATGAGGTGATGAATCTTCATCGACTGAGATGGTTGGGCCATGTGTTACGTATGCCTGAATACCGATTACCACGATGCGCAATGCTGACTAGTATAGGGGATGGTTGGAAGAGAGTTAGGGGCGGCCAAATCAAAACATGGCATCAGTGCTTGAAGTCACTAACTTTTAGTCTGAGCCATGTTGTCAGATGCAAACCACTTGGTTGGGGTCCGCGTGACTATCGCAACCAATGGTCGGAGACTCTGGTTGACATGGCTCCGAATCGATCAAAATGGAGTAGGTGTATACACTCTTTATCTTCCCTTAAACCTTGAGATTAAAATTGTTTCATAACTGTTTTCCTTCCTATACTATATCCTTACATACAACATTTCTTTTATATATTACCACCACTAAATTAACTATTTCTATGAATCCGGTGTTCATCTTGTTGTGCTAACGAGGTATGACAACTTGGACCGATTCAAAAATGTGCCTGGTCTTACGTTGTAGCTGACTGACTGACTGAAATACTAAGGTATAGGTACATCCAACTAACGTATTTCAAATAGGAGTTATTCAGAGCATTAGATTTCACTACTAGCTACAAATCATTTGTTTTTTAAAAAAAACAACCTGTGGTATGATGTGTATATCAGAGTAATCCGTACATGATTTTCCCTACATGAAAAAAAGGATTGATCACAAATTCATTCCGGGATATCAGCAAGGAGATACCTAAAACATTTACTAATTATGGATAATGCGATGGCGTTTGAAGCGAAAGTTACTGTGTTCGAGTCCCAGAGTGAACATCAACTCTGAGATGCAGGTACATCCAGCTGACCAGTATCAAGCAGAACGAAACGCGCTACAAACTGGATTCCACTACTAGCCACTAACCATCTTTACTTACAATGCTTATGAATTAAAGCTATATCGAGGCAATACACACAGGATTCACTTATGCCAATTAGAGACTGACTAGTTGCAGTCCAAACACATCAATGGGAAGATTCAAAGAAAACAATACTAAATGATTTAATGTTGATTATATTTTTATCATTCTGTTTTCTTTCAATCTTCTTTCATTTTATACCATACAGTATACTTGGCTTTGTGCAACTTTAGCATCTGGAAGTGTAAAACATTTAACTGAATTAGTAGTCACCAATCAATTATCGAATGGTTTAGCATTAATACGTCCACCAGGTCATCATGCTATGCGTTCAGAAGCATGCGGTTATTGTATATTTAATAATATTGCTATTACAGCTGCTAGTTTACTTCAATCAAAGAAATCAATAACCAAACATAATTTTACATATTTACAACGTATATTAATTATTGATTGGGATGTACATCATGGACAAGGGACACAATATGCTTTTTATGATGATAATCGGTTGGTTACTAATTATTATATTGATTACTATATATTTATATTTGTATTTTGTGGAGATTTCAGTATTTTCGTAGTTGAAATCATAAGTCAATTGAAGCTAGACCACCAGGAAAAAACCTGGAAGTATTGGAAGACTGTTTCGTCTCTTCAGAAGTGCGCATCCACGACCTCGACTCGTGAGATTCGAACCCAGGACTTACCAGTCTCGCGCCAGAGCACTTAACCGATAGATCACTAAGCCGGCCGGCATCCGATGGTGTTTATGTCTAACTCCAACCAATCCATGAAGTTGAGTAACCGTTCCCTAATTGTTTTCAGTGAGTTCCTATCTCCCAATAGACGTGGTTTGAATTCCACTGGTCAGTACTTCTCACTAGAACTCCTGGATTTACCTTTCGAAGTCAGCCACTAGTGAGCACATGATCATTATGAAAAGGGATTTGGTGAAGATTTAGTATTTTCATAGTTGAAAGCGTGAGTCAATTGAAGGTAGACCATCAGGGAAAACCTGGAAGCACTGGACGGTCGTTTCGTCCTATTGTGGAACTCCTCAGTGGCAGTGCGCATCCACGACTTCGCCTCGCGAGATTTGAACCCATATTTTTACCTGATCAGTTAACTGGTCACAAAAATTGTTCATATAGTTACCTAACAAATTATGTTTATGAATTTGTCATTGTATGTAATATCCCGTTGTTAGCATTTATGATTGGAATTTGATCAGTATCCGTTATTGAGCAAAGATGGATAGGGCTTAGCAGTGGAAACCAGGATGAGCGTTTCGTCTTATTTCGGACTGGTCAGCTGGATGTACCTGCATCATAGAGTTGATGTTCATTCTGGGACACGAACCCAGGACGTTTGCTTCAAACGCCATCGCGGTATCCACTTAGCTACTGAGTCCGTTAGGATTTGTGTATCCTGGGTATTAAATTGAGTTAAACGATTGTTGGCAATTGAATCCAAGATTCGCGTTTGATCTTATTTGAGAGTTGTTAGATGGATATATACCTACATTTCGGTGTTGATGCCCACATTGAGAAGTAGATTGCAGTGGATATTAATTTAAACACCAACACCATTGTTCATCATTTTAGAATAGAACAAAACTGTGATTATGAGGATCTAATTAAAAAAACACATCATATATCTTATTTGGAATATTTGATTTATGTAGGAAATTTTAAAACATTATAACCCGTTTTTAGGTGCTAAGCTTTATGAAACAGATAGGTCATCCTAAATGATGATAGTTTTCAACGAATATGGTACTTGTCAAGACTGACAATTTATTTCACAATGTGGGAAAGATTGACAGATTCGGAGTATTAAAGGGAATTGATTTCTCAAAGTTGAAATCATTAGTCGATTGAAGCTAGACCACCATGGAAGACCTGGAAGCACTGGATGGCTGTTTCGTCCTATTATGGGACTCCTCAGCAGTACGCACCCACGATCCCGTACTCGCGAGATTCGAACCCAGGTTCTACCAGTCTCGCGGCGGAGCCCTTAACAGATAAACCACTGAACCGGCATTCAGCGGTGTTAATGTCTAACTTCAATTGATTTCATTGTCTTATTGGAGGTAATTTGAGGTGCGAGTTGTAAATTGTTAGGTGTATTGGCTTATGGATGTCCTTGAATGTTTCTTGTGATTTCACTGATAATATGCTTTATGACATCTGAAACGATAGTGGATTCACTCACGGGTATGTTGTATTTGATGGATGAACCACCGCTGAATGACGTTTTGAATGGGTTTCTACTTGAAATGACACATCTCTCCTATAGATCTATCTAGTAGAAGTGTATGTTTAACACTATAGAAAGAAATGATAGCGTATATGATTTGGGGTAGTGAAATTAAAATATGATTGATCACTGGGATTGGACAAGCAGGCACTTAACTTATCGATTACTAAATATGTGATTTCCTTTCCTCTCATTGATTTCTACTTCGGACTCACTGAGTATAACGGCTCTTGTCTGTGTTGAATAAAGTATCGTCTAGTGTTAATCTAGTTCTCTATTCTGGATAGTGAATCTTGGATTTGACATAACACAACGAGTCTCATTACTGTATTAAGATATCATCGTACTATACCTAAGAAAGGAAAAATGGTTTAAACCATCCGTTATATCAGTAAGATTCCTGGAAAATTAGGTATAATTCTATGTAGTCATCATAAAAAGGACAGTGGAAAAACACATCTAGTATTTTTGTTTAAATCTTCCCATCGATGTGTTAGGACAGCAACTGGTCAGTCTTTTATTGGCATATGTGCATACTGTGTGTATTGCCTCGATATAACCTTAATTCACAAGCATTCTAAGCAAAGATGGATAGTAGCTAGCAGTGGAATCCAGTTTGACGCGCGTTTCGTCCTATTTGGGACTCGTTAGCTGAATGTGCCTGCATCTCACCCCATCGCACAAGCAAGTGGCTATCAGGACTCAGTGGTCGAGTGGATAACGCGACGGCGTTTAAAGCGAAAGGTGTTGGGTTTGTGTCCCAGAGTGAACATCAATTCTGAGTTGCCACTATCCATCTTTGCTTACCAGTGGAAAAACAGTTTTCGCTTCTTATGACAATAACTGTGTATCGCTGTTATGCTATAGACCAGGACTTCTTAATAGTGTTTTTGAAAAATTTATTCAGAGATGACATTCAGTGATGGTTACATTCTATTTCAAATGAACTGGGGTTGGAAATATGGATTATTTGATACTGACTCAGCAATCCAAATACAGACTGTTTGACAAGAAATATGATTTTCCCTCATAGGAGCGTGATTATGTAGTGCTAGTGAAGAGCTAAAGGGCGGAGACGTGGAGAACTACGAAAGCCATCATCCAGAAGACACAGGTGTTTATTAACAGTTGTCTACGCAAAATACTTCGGATCTGATGGCCAGACACTATCAGCAACAAGTTACTGTGAGATAGAACAAACCAGATTCCAGTGGAGGAAGAAATCAGGAAGAAGCTTTGGAAGTTGATAGGACACACTTTGAGGAAATCATCCAATCGTATCACAAGACAATCCCTCACATGGAATCCTGAAGGCGAAAGGAGAAGAGGAAGACCAAAGAACACATTACACCGAGAAATGTAGAGAGACATGGGAAGAATGAACAAAAAATGGGTAGAACTAGAAAGGAAGTCACAGGACAAAGTGGGTTGGAGAAAGCTGGTCGGCGGCTTATGCTCCATTGGGAGTAACAGGCGTAAGTAGGTAAGTAAGTAAGTGAAGAGCTAAGATTAAGGTGAAATATTTACTCAATGTTACTTAGTTGACATAGACTGATGACTTAAAAACTTTCACCATCATTAAACCAATCTTTATAATATTTCATAATTTTGATAAGAAAACATATCACTATAGGAGATTCTTGGGGACTATTGAATTTTCATGGATTATGCCATATATCGATCTCGGTTGAACAGCTATTGAAAACTAGGAAGTATTTGATAGGCGTTTCGTCTCAGCATGGAAGTTCTCAACGGTGCACATAGACGACCCTACAAGGTATTAAACCCAAAATCTTCGATCTCACTCTCGAGCGCTCTGCCTGTTCAATGGTCCAGAGGTTTAGCACTCAAACGCAAAACTGAAGGTTCAGAGCTCAATCCCCTGTAGGATCGTAGATGTTCACTGTTGAGAACTCCTAGACTGGAACTAAACACCTATCCAGTGCTTTCTAGTTCCCGGTAGTTGCCTAACTAAAATCAATATTTGATATAATCAATAAAAAATCCCATTGATCCATTTTGATTCTTTTTTTTTAGTGTTCTTTACATTTCTATTCATCGTTATGAGAAAGCAAAATTTTGGCCAAATTTACGTGAAGCAAATTATGATTTTATTGGTGAAAATTTAGGCAAAGGTTATAATGTTAATATACCATTAGAAGAGGTAATTTTAAGTTTTAGATTATCCATAAATTCTATCAATGTTTACTAAATTATATCATATCTAACACTTACCATTCATTCAATAATTATCAGAAGGGGTTTTGTGGAGATTTCAGTATTTTCATAGTTGAAAGCGTGAGTCAATTGAATCTAGATCACTATGGAAAACCTAGAAGCACTGGACAACCGTTTCATCCTATTCTGGGACTCCTCAACAGTGCCCATCCACGATCTCGCACTTCGTGGGTCAGTTGAAGTTAGACATTAACACCGTTGAATGCCGGCAGGCTCATTGATCTATCGGTTAAAGGGCTCTGGCTCGAGACTGGTAGGTCCTGAGTTCGAATCTCTCAAGTGCAGGATTCATTCAGTAGTTCAATGATGTATGTGAGAATTTTCTTTTCACTAGAGTCTTCGTTTTGAACTCTTACTTTTGTTATATTTATGTTTCCCATCAGGGATATCAAACTACATTATACTGATAAATTCATAGAACTTAGTTGATACGTCTTAGGTTCGAATACAGCAGGGCTGAATCGTGGATGCGCGCTGCCACTGATGAGTCCCACAATAGGACGAAACGGCCATCCAGTGCTTCCAGGTTTTTCATGGTGGTCTAGCTTCAATTGACTCATGATTTCAACTATGAAAATACTGAAATCTCCACAAAAACCTCTACAGATCATTTTAGACTATTGAAGTGAAAACGTTTGGATAAAATCACACTTTATTCATACACTAAACAAATGAGCAATAGTCGGGTGTTAGAATGCTCAGAATGCTTGTGAATTAAGGTAATATCGAAGCAATACGCACAGTATGTACATATGCCAATAAGAGACTGATCAATTGCAGTCCTAAACATCAATGGGAAGATTCAATTAAACAATACTAATCCTATTCGAGATTGATCAGCTGGATGTACTGCATCGCAGAGTTTATGTTCACTCTGGGACTTGAACCCAATACCGTTCACCACAAATACCATTGGGTTATCCACTCAGCTAATGAGTCGTCATAGCCACTTGCTTGTGCAATGGGGTGAAATTTGAATTCACTTAGTATTGTTTGTTTGAATCTTCCCATTGATGTTTAGGACTACAACTGGTCAGTCTCTTATTGGCATATATGCATATTGTGCGTATTGACTCGATATAGTCTTAATTCACAAGCATTCTAAGCAGAGATGGATAGTGGTTAGCAATGGAATCCAGTTTGATGCGCGTTTCGTCCTATTTGGGACTGGTCAGCTGGATGTACCTGCATCTCAGAGTTATTGTTCACTCTGCCACTTGAACTCAGTGCTGTTTACTTCAAATACCATTGGGTTATTCACTTAACAACTGAGTTCATCTATGCTTATAATCCTTGTGGATTAAAGCAATATCGAGTCAATACACTCAGTATACACTTATACCAATAAGTGATTGATCACTTACAGTCCTACACATCAATGGGAAGATTTAAGTAAACAATACCAAATGAATTTATGTCCATTTGATAGATATTAAGAACAGAATGTATGTACAAAGGTTAAGTTTGAATTTATGATTACCTATAGCTTCTGATGTGCATAAGTTTTCCATTTTTGATTGATTATATGAGTAACAAATTTGGATTCATGAGGTGTCGGAGCATAATTTTAACTGTCAAAAATACAATCAGACAGAGTGTTGTCTTTCGAATCTGTGGACACGGGATAAATCACAGTATGTACTATATACTAGAGAACAATATTCAGTCTTATTAAACAAATATATAGGTATACAGTTGAGATCATTAGTCAATTGAAGCTAGACCACCATGGAAAACCTGGAAGCACTGGATGGCCGTTTCGTCCTATTATGGGACTCCTCAATGACAGTGCGCATCCACGATCCCGCCTCACGAGAATCGAACCCAGGACCTACCAGTCTCGCTCCAGAGCACTTGACCGATAAACCACTGAGCAGCCATCCAACGGTGTTAATGAATAACTTCAAACAAGGTGGGATCGTGGATTCGCACTACTGAGGAGTACCACACTAGGACGAAACGGCTGTCCAGTGCTTCCAGGTTTTCTACGGTGGTCTAGCTTCTATTGACTGATGATTTCAACTATATATATAAATATATAGGTAATTAAAAAAGATGAATTATTCGTAATATCTCGAAAATAAGAAAATTCTTCAAAAACTAACTGCATTTCAAGGTCCAAAGTATATTACTTACTTACGCCTGTTACCCTTGTGTAGGAGCGTAGGCTACCTACCAGCATTCTCCATCCAACCTATCCAGTTGTTTACATTTGCTATTCATCCTTTTCATATCTGGTTTCATTTTCCGACGTAGTATGTTCTTCATCCTTTATTTTTTTATCATTTAAAAGTTTAATCTTTCTTACTGGTTGTTTGAATCTTCCCATTGATGTTCAGGACTGCAATTGATCAGTCTTTTATTGGGTTATGTTCATCCTGTACAGATTATTTCCATATGGCCCTAAGTCACAAGCATTATAAGCAGAAATGAATGCTGGCAAGCGGTCGAATCGATGAAGCACGTTTTGTCCTATTTGGGACCTGCATCCCAGAGTTGATGTTTATTCCAAGACTCAAACCCAGTACCGGTATCTTTAAACACCAACGTGTTGCCCACTTAGCTACTGAACCCTGATAACCACTAGCTTGTGCCATGGAGTGAAGTTTTAATTCATTCATAGGACAAAAACTTACGTCCTGGATTTCATTGCTAACCATCATACATCTCTACTTATACTGAATATTTAGTAGATAGTATAGTGTCACATATAAAAATGCAAACAGAAATTATGGATTCAGTAAGTTTTGGGTCAATCACATGTGCCAACCAATAAAAATCAATTAACCACAGTGAAATACTACGAATTGCAAGATATAAGAAACCCATATATTATATAGTTCAACTATTCATCAATTCTCATCAATAACTCTATTTTTAATTGTATACAGTTACTTTTGGGATTATTTACATGTTTTAAGCTGTTTATTTCACTAATTAACCCGCAAATGCCCTGATACCGCCGAGAGTGGGGATGACCCGCCCTCTCTGTCGAAATGCTCTCACATGGCAACGAGTATAAAGCCTCTGTAAGGGAAGTCCTTCTCTCACTTCCTTCTCGTTGCACTACTGTTGTTTACGAAATTGAGAGGAAGAAAAGCGAATGTCCGACACTTTAACCGGGTTGGTGGACATGGAAAGTTCACCTAGAGGAGTTGGAAAATCCTGTTTCCAAACCTATAGTGAACATGGTCTCCAGTATCCTGAAGGGATAAATGGCGTATGAATAAATCGTTGGTCACCGGCTACCATGGGACTGCATCTCCTGACGATGCTCCACTGCCTTGTGGATCAGATCTTTAGGGTCGAAGGCTCGGGTTGTGGTCCCCTAAGTAAACCAACTGGTTCGGTCTGGGCACTCGGGTAGTATCCAAGCCTTTACACAAATCAAATGAGATTTGTGTGGCGCATATATATCTAGTGTCATTTTATACCAATATTTATGTGTTCAAATAAATAAATAATTCACTACTTATAAGTATATTAACTTGTATTTTGTTTAACTGTTATATTTACAGACAGGTATGACGGATTCCGACTATCTTGCTATATTTTATCGTCTAATTATGCCTATTGCTACAGAGGTAAATTATCAACATTAGCAATATTATTTTTAACAAATTTTAACATGAATAAATGTGTATATATGTGTATGAGCTTAGATAATTAAACGTATTTGAAGCCTTAAAAGTAAATTTTAAATAGTTAATAACCTTTAGCATAAAATATTATGTACTCACTAGTGACTGACTTCGTAAGGTAATTCCTGGAGTTCTAGTGAGAAGTCATGACCAGTGAAGCTAATATGGTGGACCCGGGTTTCGTGCTACTTGGCACTCTTCAGCAAGGTGTACCTGTAACATTGAGGGAACTGGTGCTCTCTGACGGATTCGATCCCGTGTCACTCAGCTTCACAGTTAGAGACGTTACCACTGAGCTATTCAGGCCGCGACCGACCTCCCGTTGGACTGAGATGTAATCACGATTGATTGATCACTGGGTGATGATCAATGTCATGCGTGTCAAGTTCTTCTTAGTTGATATCCATGTCCAGGTAGAGACAGGCATCTAACTCAATACAATGTAAATTGGTCGAGCAATTTCATGGATTGGTTGAAGTTAGACAATAACACCGTTGGATGGCGTCTCAGTGGTCTATCAGTTATGTGCTCTGGCGCGAGACTGGTAGATCCTGGGTTCGGATCTCGAGAGGCGGGATCGTGGATGCGCGCTGCCACTGAGGTGCCCCACAATAGGATGAAACGGACGTCCAGTGCTTCCAGGTTTTCCATGGTGGTCTAGCTTCAAATGAATCATGATTTCAACTATGTAAAATTACCAAAATCTCAACAACCCCCCCTTTCTATTTGAATATTACAAATGATAAAAAGCCCTGTTCCGAATTTTAAAAACAGTAAGATATCTGGGGAAGAATTACGAACTTAAGTCGTCTCCAAGGTGAACTGAAAGCATAATTGGAGACTTAGTTTAAAATAAATGATTTAATCAATTAAGTTACATTTTTTCCGTTTGTATAAGTCATTATTTTCGGATATTGAGTAGTTTGCGGAAATAAACAGATAATTTAGGTATCGGATTTTCGTTAGATGCCATTCATCTACAAAGAAATATCTGGAATTTTTTGTCGAGGACAGATGATACCTTGGAAGAAAACAGAACCTATGTGACCGATTACAGAGCTAGTTTGGCCCTCATTAACAAACTACCTCCAACCAGATATTAGAAAGCATAGTTCATGCAATGTAAAATCATTCACACTACTGGTGACATTCGATTTTGAAGGGATAATTCAATAAATATTAAAAACCAAACAAATATGGATAATCAGTATTGATGTCTCATATCTATGCAAAGTTAGTCATGGCCCAAAATACCTTAGTTTTACCATCACAACTGTATGATACGACAATAAAACCATTGAGGGGATAAGTTTACAATTACTTCCTACTGGTAACTGTAAAATGAAATGAAATTTAGGTCAAGATTTTTTTTATCCCTTTTCATCAACTACCTAACATAGTTTCCAGTTTTGAGATGGTGGAGAAGATTTTTAGCTGATGATGTCGTTCAGAAAGACGATGAAAGCTCCATGACCAAATCATCCAGCTCAAAGAACAAAAGCCCATCAAAATAGTTTCCAGTTTCTTTTCAATTGAAAATGACTGATTTTTCATGACACTAACTTCAAGATATGCAAAACAATCGCAAGTCTTTTACTATCACTTAGGTGGTGAATAGTTAAAATGTAAAGATTTCTTTAAAGTGAACTGAATTAAAGACAATTTATGTGTCTGATTTTAAAATAGTTGCATCGTTTATATTAACAGCATTATCACCTTGAAATATTTATCATAAACATTGATACTACTTTAAATATAATAAGTAGATCAATTTGTATGAAAAAATAAATGAAGGTTGAGATGGTGGTTGGAGGTAGTCAACAAAAAACCTTAGGCTCAGGTTTCCTGCTACTTGGCACTCGTCAGCAAGGTGTACCTGTAATCTTGAGGGAACTGATGTTCAATGACGGATATGGTCCTGTGTCACCCAACTTCACAGTGTGTGTGCGGAATGTCGAGTCACTTAGTCTAGTGGCCACATTGCAACTTGGTCGATAGGATTCGATCTGAACTAAGAATGACCTGACATACACATGACATTGATCACCACCCAGTGATCAATCGATTGTAAATAAATGACAGTCAATATTTCCTTACAGATGATTATATCCTTGTTAATCTAATCGAGAGTAGAGTAATTTCCTTTTTTTCTAATTTCAAAAATTACAGTTTAATCCTCAGCTGATACTTATTTCTTGTGGGTTCGACGCAGCTATTGGTTGTCCAGAGGTAAGTGCTAAATTAATGAATAACATATATGGTTACGATCAAAATATGTTTCTTTCTAGTTTTCTATTAGTTATTGACTAACTATATGTTTAAATCAAAATAAAGTTCCAGATCTTACGGTTAAAATCCTATGATTCTTATTTCTAACTTCAGTCGATATTAATCAAAGCATGAAAATAACATTAGTGTATAATTGCTGAATTCCAAAATCAAACCATTTCCATCGCGATCAATCTAAATGATCTATAATCACCACTTATGACCGTATACGAAAGACTTTACTTTCTAACTCAGTAATTCATTTTCACCCCGTCCATGGATGGAGTAGAAATTTCTCAGGCTCCATCTCCGGATTCGAAAGTTATCCAGAGTCATCACAGAATATAAAAAGCACAGCCAAAGCCCCACCTGATTGATTCTGTTTTAATGCACACGTCCCAATGCCGGAAAGGGATTCAAGTCATGCATTAGCTCTAGAATTACTAGTTATCAAACTAACGTTTAAGATATATGGAACCTGTGGTATGTGAAGCGTTACGAATTCACTACACAGCGAAAGAAAAAATAAACGTCACCAGAGACCGAAAGCGAGCTATAATGACGCCAACCAAATCAAGATAATTATATCGCATAAATGAAATTTTCATTTTTCAGACCAAGATAATTTTCATCGCATTTGTGAAATTTTCATTTTTCCGACTTTGCAGACACTGACTGACTGAGTTAGGGGTAGTATCCCTATATAACATGGCGAGTAAGAGCAGGTGTAAATAGTGAAATCACTTACCAACAAATTGATAGGGCAGACATTTGAAGATCGGTCGCCGACACAACAGTGTGGTGTCGGAATAGTAATACAAGACCACCAAGATCATTTTTATCGCATTTGTGAAATTTTCATTTTTCCGACTTTGCAGACACTGACTGACTGAGTTAGGGGTAGTATCCCTATATAACATGGCGAGTAAGAGCAAGTGTAAATAGTGAAATCACTTACCAACAAATTGATAGGGCAGACATTTGAAGATCGGTCGCCGACACAACAGTGTGGTGTCGGAATAGTAATACAAGACCACCAAGATCATTTTTATCGCATTTGTGAAATTTTCATTTTTCCGACTTTGCAGACACTGACTGACTGAGTTAGGGGTAGTATCCCTATATAACATGGCGAGTAAGAGCAGGTGTAAATAGTGAAATCACTTACCAACAAATTGATAGGGCAGACATTTGAAGATCGGTCGCCGACACAAGAGTGTGGTGTCGGAATAGTAATACAAGACCACCAAGATCATTTTTATCGCATTTGTGAAATTTTCATTTTTCCGACTTTGCAGACACTGACTGACTGAGTTAGGGGTAGTATCCCTATATAACATGGCGAGTAAGAGCAGGTGTAAATAGTGAAATCACTTACCAACAAATTGATAGGGCAGACATTTGAAGATCGGTCGCCGACACAAGAGTGTGGTGTCGGAATAGTAATACAAGACCACCAAGATAATTTTTATCGCATTTGTGAAATTTTCATTTTTCCGACTTTGCAGACACTGACTGACTGAGTTAGGGGTAGTATCCCTATATAACATGGCGAGTAAGAGCAGGTGTAAATAGTGAAATCACTTACCAACAAATTGATAGGGCAGACATTTGAAGATCGGTCGCCGACACAAGAGTGTGGTGTCGGAATAGTAATACAAGACCACCAAGATCATTTTTATCGCATTTGTGAAATTTTCATTTTTCCGACTTTGCAGACACTGACTGACTGAGTTAGGGGTAGTATCCCTATATAACATGGCGAGTAAGAGCAAGTGTAAATAGTGAAATCACTTACCAACAAATTGATAGGGCAGACATTTGAAGATCGGTCGCCGACACAACAGTGTGGTGTCGGAATAGTAATACAAGACCACCAAGATCATTTTTATCGCATTTGTGAAATTTTCATTTTTCCGACTTTGCAGACACTGACTGACTGAGTTAGGGGTAGTATCCCTATATAACATGGCGAGTAAGAGCAGGTGTAAATAGTGAAATCACTTACCAACAAATTGATAGGGCAGACATTTGAAGATCGGTCGCCGACACAACAGTGTGGTGTCGGAATAGTAATACAAGACCACCAAGATCATTTTTATCGCATTTGTGAAATTTTCATTTTTCCGACTTTGCAGACACTGACTGACTGAGTTAGGGGTAGTATCCCTATATAACATGGCGAGTAAGAGCAGGTGTAAATAGTGAAATCACTTACCAACAAATTGATAGGGCAGACATTTGAAGATCGGTCGCCGACACAACAGTGTGGTGTCGGAATAGTAATACAAGACCACCAAGATCATTTTTATCGCATTTGTGAAATTTTCATTTTTCCGACTTTGCAGACACTGACTGACTGAGTTAGGGGTAGTATCCCTATATAACATGGCGAGTAAGAGCAGGTGTAAATAGTGAAATCACTTACCAACAAATTGATAGGGCAGACATTTGAAGATCGGTCGCCGACACAACAGTGTGGTGTCGGAATAGTAATACAAGACCACCAAGATCATTTTTATCGCATTTGTGAAATTTTCATTTTTCCGACTTTGCAGACACTGACTGACTGAGTTAGGGGTAGTATCCCTATATAACATGGCGAGTAAGAGCAGGTGTAAATAGTGAAATCACTTACCAACAAATTGATAGGGCAGACATTTGAAGATCGGTCGCCGACACAAGAGTGTGGTGTCGGAATAGTAATACAAGACCACCAAGATCATTTTTATCGCATTTGTGAAATTTTCATTTTTCCGACTTTGCAGACACTGACTGACTGAGTTAGGGGTAGTATCCCTATATAACATGGCGAGTAAGAGCAAGTGTAAATAGTGAAATCACTTACCAACAAATTGATAGGGCAGACATTTGAAGATCGGTCGCCGACACAAGAGTGTGGTGTCGGAATAGTAATACAAGACCACCAAGATCATTTTTATCGCATTTGTGAAATTTTCATTTTTCCGACTTTGCAGACACTGACTGACTGAGTTAGGGGTAGTATCCCTATATAACATGGCGAGTAAGAGCAGGTGTAAATAGTGAAATCACTTACCAACAAATTGATAGGGCAGACATTTGAAGATCGGTCGCCGACACAAGAGTGTGGTGTCGGAATAGTAATACAAGACCACCAAGATCATTTTTATCGCATTTGTGAAATTTTCATTTTTCCGACTTTGCAGACACTGACTGACTGAGTTAGGGGTAGTATCCCTATATAACATGGCGAGTAAGAGCAGGTGTAAATAGTGAAATCACTTACCAACAAATTGATAGGGCAGACATTTGAAGATCGGTCGCCGACACAACAGTGTGGTGTCGGAATAGTAATACAAGACCACCAAGATCATTTTTATCGCATTTGTGAAATTTTCATTTTTCCGACTTTGCAGACACTGACTGACTGAGTTAGGGGTAGTATCCCTATATAACATGGCGAGTAAGAGCAGGTGTAAATAGTGAAATCACTTACCAACAAATTGATAGGGCAGACATTTGAAGATCGGTCGCCGACACAACAGTGTGGTGTCGGAATAGTAATACAAGACCACCAAGATCATTTTTATCGCATTTGTGAAATTTTCATTTCTCCGACTTTGCAGACACTGACTGACTGAGTTAGGGGTAGTATCCCTATATAACATGGCGAGTAAGAGCAGGTGTAAATAGTGAAATCACTTACCAACAAATTGATAGGGCAGACATTTGAAGATCGGTCGCCGACACAACAGTGTGGTGTCGGAATAGTAATACAAGACCACCAAGATCATTTTTATCGCATTTGTGAAATTTTCATTTCTCCGACTTTGCAGACACTGACTGACTGAGTTAGGGGTAGTATCCCTATATAACATGGCGAGTAAGAGCAGGTGTAAATAGTGAAATCACTTACCAACAAATTGATAGGGCAGACATTTGAAGATCGGTCGCCGACACAACAGTGTGGTGTCGGAATAGTAATACAAGACCACCAAGATCATTTTTATCGCATTTGTGAAATTTTCATTTTTCCGACTTTGCAGACACTGACTGACTGAGTTAGGGGTAGTATCCCTATATAACATGGCGAGTAAGAGCAGGTGTAAATAGTGAAATCACTTACCAACAAATTGATAGGGCAGACATTTGAAGATCGGTCGCCGACACAACAGTGTGGTGTCGGAATAGTAATACAAGACCACCAAGATCATTTTTATCGCATTTGTGAAATTTTCATTTCTCCGACTTTGCAGACACTGACTGACTGAGTTAGGGGTAGTATCCCTATATAACATGGCGAGTAAGAGCAAGTGTAAATAGTGAAATCACTTACCAACAAATTGATAGGGCAGACATTTGAAGATCGGTCGCCGACACAACAGTGTGGTGTCGGAATAGTAATACAAGACCACCAAGATCATTTTTATCGCATTTGTGAAATTTTCATTTCTCCGACTTTGCAGACACTGACTGACTGAGTTAGGGGTAGTATCCCTATATAACATGGCGAGTAAGAGCAGGTGTAAATAGTGAAATCACTTACCAACAAATTGATAGGGCAGACATTTGAAGATCGGTCGCCGACACAACAGTGTGGTGTCGGAATAGTAATACAAGACCACCAAGATCATTTTTATCGCATTTGTGAAATTTTCATTTCTCCGACTTTGCAGACACTGACTGACTGAGTTAGGGGTAGTATCCCTATATAACATGGCGAGTAAGAGCAGGTGTAAATAGTGAAATCACTTACCAACAAATTGATAGGGCAGACATTTGAAGATCGGTCGCCGACACAACAGTGTGGTGTCGGAATAGTAATACAAGACCACCAAGATCATTTTTATCGCATTTGTGAAATTTTCATTTCTCCGACTTTGCAGACACTGACTGACTGAGTTAGGGGTAGTATCCCTATATAACATGGCGAGTAAGAGCAGGTGTAAATAGTGAAATCACTTACCAACAAATTGATA